GGCAGACCTCAAGTTGAGCCTGGCACAGGCAGCGCACGCAGCCGGCACGGCCTCCGCTTTCGCATCCCTCCGCTCTAGGGGTAGGGAAAGTTTGAGGAGCCAGACATTAGGCGCTAGCCATCCCCCTCGACCGCTGGGTGCCCGGACCCCGTCCCTGGAGACCAAGGCTGGGTTGCAGGGAAGGTGCCCGCGTCCCGGCCCCACCTGGGAAGCTAGGGCGCGCAGTGAGTGCCCGGGCCGCGCGGTGACTGGCCGAAGGCTGCACTGGAGCGGGTTGGACCGGCCCCACATAGCGGCAGAAGCCCGCGACGTGTGCCTGCGCTGGGGACGGAGCCTGCAAGTGCAAAACTTTGTAATAGCAAAGCAGAGGTCCCAGGAGGCCAGCTTCCCTTCCATCATGGGCAGCTCACGGTGGTCTCGAAATGACCTCGTCGAGCCTGATCCCTAGGCCTGGTAGCTTGATCCATGGGGCAAACCCCGTGTCTCCCAAGGGGCCACGGAACCAGGTTGAGCTCCAGCAACAACCCCTCCGCGGGTGCGCACCCGCAAAGCCCACCAGCTCGCCTGGGGCTGCTCCCGGGCCGGAGCCCCGGCTCCGGGCAGCACCCAGGTTCGCGGCTCTGCCCCGTGCGCATCCAACTCCAACTTGCCCCTGCGGCTCCAACTCACCTTTGCGAAGCATGTTGACCGCGGGGCCGCCACTCTGAGGTCGGCCTAGACGCGCTCCCTCCGGGGTCTGGATTCAAATCCTTGGGCGCTGGCTGCAGCTAATCCGAGCGCGTCGAGGCGGCGGCAAGCCGGGGATCCGCTTGTGCCCGGCGGCGCGGCCCCGCAGGGGCATGGTGAGCCCGAGCCCCGCGCAGAGGGCACCGGCGCCCACCAGCAACCGTGGCGCTGCCCAGCAGCCCCGCGCGCTCGCTAAGCCCCGGGACGAGCGGCTTGCTCTGCGAATCCGGCGGCCTGCTTCTGCAGCCCAGAGCACTTTGCAGGCGGTTTTGAGGGGGGACGCCGCCCCCCGGCCGCGGCCCCCTTCCTTTCCGCCCCCTCGGGCCGCCGCCGCCGCCGCCGCCGCCGCTGCTGCACAAGGGCGCTCGCACGCAACGCGGAGCTCCGGGGAAAGCGCCCGGCGCGCGTTTGCAGGACCGAGCGAGCGGCGGAGCGGGGCGCCTCCCTTCCTCCCCCCGGCTTCCCCCACCTTTCTTCCTCCCACCCTCCTTCCCTCCCTCGCTAGCTCCCTCCCCCTCGCTCCGATCCCCGCCCCCGCTCACGGAGCGCCTCCCATACAAAATTTATGAAAGTGCTCTCAGCTCGCGGTGCCGAGCGCCGTCCTATTCCCAGGGCAGCGGCGCTCAGCCGCGCGGCGCCGCCTCCCAAGGTGTTTTCACTGAGCCCGCCCCCGGGGACGACCCTCCACCCCAGTGCGTCCAGGTACCTGTCCCAGACCCCGGGCCGGTCGTCTGACCACTCAAAAAGCCCCTCCCCGTCCCCGTGGGCTCCCCAAAGCTCGTACCCGCAGCCCAACCCCCCGTCCGTTCGCCCTTCGCGGATGGAGGTCACCCAGCCAGGCAGCTGGAAGCGTGCGCTCAGCCGACCAGCTGGGACGAGACGACCGCCGCCCTGAGCCCGCGGTCACAAGTCCGCATCCCTGCCCATCTCCTCTGGGGTCGGCTCGGCTTCCTCCTAGGAGGCTCGACGGCTCCTCCCAGCCCGGGACAGCTCCGACAGACCCTGCCGCCTCGCATCCTGCGTCCCAGGACACTATTCTTTTTGGGAAGAGGTGTGGCGTGCCCCCAGGCGGGTCTAGACCCCGTAGCAAGCATTCTAGGAGGCCCAGTTGCAAACCCAGAGGGAGGGAAGAACCAACGTGGGGCTCCAGTGAGCCTCCCCCGCCTAGGGGGCCCTCTGGTTTCCATCCGTCACAGACCCCGCCGGGGCTTTGTAGAAAATGGAGGAGGCGCCGCCTAGAAAGTAGGTCCCGCAGGGGCAGATTGGGCTGAGCATTCAGACTAGGCAAGATCCTGGGTGGAGGCCGGCACCCCCTACTGGCCTGGGATAAGAGGGGTCCTGACGGCAGAGGAAAAAGTGGGCTAAGTCACGCATTCACCACATGTTCACTGGGGGGCTACCATGTGTAAGGCACTACTATTCCTGGGACTCCAGCCAATGCAAAAGATAAGGCCCTGCCTTTGTGGAGTTTACAGCCTAACAGGGACCTAATGCGGGAAGTCTCCATGAGCCGGTGCTTGGGAGGAAAATGGTGGTGTTCCGGAGCTGAAATGAGGGGCCAGGGAAAGCTCTTTGCTCAACTGACACCCAAGCAGAGATACAGTTAAAGTGAGAGGACGAGTTGTGTGATTTGTTGGAGAAAAACCTGGCACTGTAGGAAGACCAAGAAGGCCAGTATCATTCATTCACCCATGCATGCATTCGATGCACTGAAGCTGAGCTAACGATATAGACTTGGCTTTCCAGAAGCTGAAGGAAGGAAGACCCACAATCCGTTTTCCGAATGTTATAAGAGGAGATACATAGGGTGGGAGAGGTCTCTGCGGGCTCTGTAGGGACGTGAAGGACCATCAAGAAGACTTCACAGAAGAGGTGCCATTTGGGTTCGATCTTGAGGGCTGTGTCCCAAAGGCTGAGAAGGAGAAAGGCCTTTCTAGGAAGGAGAGAATTGCAGCTGTGAGAATAAGGTGAGACAGCAGGCTTGTTGGGAAGATTGGTCCATCTTGAGGTGGGGACTGAAGGCAGCTTTCTCCTAGCCTTGACCAGCTGCAGGGCTGGGCTGCCCAGGCTCCCTGCCTCAGCCCTGCCATTTTGACACTAAAGCTAAACTCAATGACACAACTTGCAGAGGCCCTCCGCGTGTAAACTGAGGCCCAGGGAGGTTGAACAACTTGCTCAGCATCATACAGCAGATCAGGGCCAAACTGTCAGCCTGAAGCAGGGTGTGCTACTCCTCCACCCACCTCCCCAAGCCGCCTCCCCATGAACCCCTGCCCCACAAACTCCAGCCTCTCAGGCAAAGTTGGCTGGAACTGGGCGTGAGTGTGAGAAGCAGAGTTATTTCAGCCTCAGCAGGGCTGAGTGCGGCTTTGGAGTCCAGCCAGGGGTGGGGGTGACTGTAGGCGGGTGTTGTGGTTAATGTGGGGGTGCACTGCGCCCGCCTTCTTGTCAGGCAGTAATTACTCAGACTGCTGAGTAACTCGGGCAGGGAGACCCCCCACAGACAGATGGAGGTGTTCTTGGACTAAGTTGAATGGCAGCCCCCAATGTTTTGCACTGCAGGGTCTTGGGGGACATGCTCACATCTGTCCTTGATGTCTAGTTGGCCTGGACATCACCTGTTTCTTTTCGGGGGCTGGGGCAGCTCATTCAGCACAAAGGCTGTAGTGCAATGTTATAAGACAATGGGGACCTTCCATTATCAAGCACTTCTACCTCTGCTGCCCCCACCTCTACCTCAGAAAAAGCCCCAGCAGGGTGCTGCTAGGGAGAAGCCACTGCTCTGCGGAAGCCAATCTTTTTCCCTCTTGGAACTTAAAGCTGCATCCAGAACCAGAGCTGCCCACAGGCTGGACCTTCGTGTTGTAAAGGGGGAGAAGCTGGACTGAGGGGATCCCTAGAATTGATACCCTGCGCCCTGGGGATCCAGAGAAACTGAGGGAGATGGGAAGTTCAGGCTGGACTCTCATCAAGGTGAGAGGTGTGTTCTTGGAGCCATGTTGCCCCACATCCCTGTTCAAAGTGGTGACTGTCGGAAGAGCATGAGTCGGTGGTGGGAGGGGCAGAACATTGACCCCTTTTGGTCCTCCTCTTGGCTGCTCACGGCCAGCCTGCCCAGCCATCCCTCCTCTCTGGGCAGCCTCCCAGGCAGGGCCAGTCCCCTCTGCTTGTTTTTCACTTCTCTCTGCACCTTAATTAGGAGTTTCCAAGCTGGGAGGGCCTCCAGGGGAGCCTGAGGCCACAGAGCTGTCTTAAAGGGCCAGCTGTGCTCACATCACCACTGCAGAGAGGGGAAGATGGTGCCAGAAGGCTGGGTGGGCAAATAGCTCTGGGAAACCATTGCTCTATGGGGCAGACCTTGCTGAAGGCCAGTCTTGAAGGTACTTTGCTCTTTCAAAGGTCCACGCTGTCTCACTGGCTGCTCTGCCTTCCCTTTGGGATCCCAGGAGCTCAGCCCTGAGCAGGAGAATCTACCATAAGCCTAAGGGGCAGCCTGGGCAGGGAAAATGTGGGCCAGAATCCAGAATCCAGAATCTGTGTCCTTGGACTGCCCCATCCTCACCGGAAGCACCTCAGGCTCAGGACCTTCTCCTGGTAGCATTTCTTCACCTGAGACCCCTCCACACTGTGGGTTCTAAAGGTGAGAAGGGCCCTAGCTGGTTTAGATCAGTGGCTGGAGCGTCAGCCTGTGGACTAAAGGGTCTTGGGTTCGATTCTGGTCAAGGGCTCGTGCCCTGGGTTTCGGGCTTCATCCCCAGTGTGGGGCATGCAGGAGGCAGCCAATCAATGATTCTCTCTCATCACTGATGTTTCTATCTCCCTCTTCCTCTCCCTTCCTCTCTGGAATCAATATATATATGAAAGGCACCCCACCCCGGCGCTCTGGAAATCTGCATCAAGACTCAATTTGGAGCTGGGCACAGAGTTCTGTCCTGTGGGGCAGCGGGGTCCTCCGAGGTAGGGAATGTGGCCCCACCTACACGCGCCCACTGCCTTTACCAGGGGGGTGGAGCAGAAGGAAGACCTGGTGGTGTCCCCGTTCACAGAATCGGCCCCGCAGAACTGGGGCAGGGAGTGAGCAGATAGGGGAGGGAGCCCTGCCCCGGGAGTGCCAGGGTTCGAGTCCGCGGGGAGAGCACAGCGCTGCGGCCCGGGGCCACTAGGGGCTCCCGCGAGCCCCGACCTTGCGGGCAGAGCCGGGCCCACAGCGGCCCCGCCCCTTCCTTCTCCTCCAGGGCCCCGCCCCGCCAGGCCCCGCCCCTCGCCGCCGCTCGGCGAGCGATCGCCCCGCCTGCGCGCTCCGCGTTCCTCTAGTGCTGCCTTTTCGGTGCCCACGTGGGCGGGCCGGCGATGGCGGCGCTGGTGGCCTCCGAGGCGGCGGGGCCGGGCGGCCGGAGCGGCCCCGGCAGAGGTGGGTGCTTATGACGCTGCGGTCTCTGGACCTCGCGTCCCCGGGTTGGGCTCCCCAAGTCAGAGACGGGACCAGCCCCCTTTCTTCGCCAGACCTGGGAGGCCCGCCGTCACTCGCTCTTGGCCGCTGTCACCGGAGCCCAGGGGTGCTCGTGTGGCCTTCGGGCGCGATCGTGAGCAGCCCCTCCCGGGAGCGTGTGGTCCTGAAGCCAGAAACTGCCCTCCGCGTGGCCGGCAGGCAGGGCGTGAAGAAGGAAGACTCACGGGAAAAACGGACCTGGCTGGGAGGCGGGAGCCCGGCGCCTTGCAGCGGGCCTTCCCCTGGGGTCGCAGGGAACGCTTGCAGGGAAGGGGCTCGTGGTTTCACCCACCAGGCACTTACTGAGCGCCCACTGAATACCAGGCCTGTGCAAGGTGCAGGGGCTAGACGCGGGGACCTCGGTCTTCCCGTGAATACTGACGTAAACGGGAGTTTTAGCCACGTGCTAAAGGGGGCGGCGGCTGCTGGTCCTTGGGACTGAGCTGCTAAAGGTACCAGCTCCTGCACCTCAACAACCACAAGGGACTCGGGCTCAGGAGCACGGGGCTGGTTGCTCCAAGGCCTTTGACACGACTGAACAAAACCCTAGTGGTGACATTCACATCTGGCCTCGGGGCCCCGATGGGCCATGCGAGTTCCCCACTTCACCACCCCCACCCTCCAGGCCTGGGAGAATCCCGCCTATCAGAGCAAAGGCCCTCACAGAAGTTCCGGCACAGATAGTACAGGCTCAGCCAGTGTTCACTGATTTACTTAACTGCTCGCCTTATTACGTTCCCGAACTGTCTGGCTCCTAAACTGAATTGTGGGGACGAGGATGCGGATTAAGGGCTTCAGCTTTGCCAAGGGGCGGCAGTGTTTTCTCCTTTAATCAGGGGGTTGTAATTACTTGTATGCCTACATTTGCCCCCACTAGACTACTGTCCCCTAAAGATCAAGGCCACTTTTCTGCCCTTAAACCTATTTGCCCACAGTCCTGTCTAGAGTATATTGTTTCCATTCTTCGTGGGGTGGAGCAGTGGGACCAGGGAACTTGCTAAGTCAGTTAAACGTATGGTGTTTATTTCCCTTTTAAATGAGGAGAAGGAAGAGTGCAGGAATTAACCAGTGTAGACGTAATGAGTGTACTCAAGTAAGGAAGGCAATCTTTTTAAAAAATATATATTTTTATTGATTTCAGAGAGGATAAGAGAGGGAGAGAGAGATAGAAACACCAATGATGAGAGAGAATCATTGATTGATTGCCTCCAGCACACCCCATACTGGGGATCAAGCTGGCAACCTGGGCATGGGCCCTGGCCCGGAACCAAACCGTTACCTCCTGGTTCACAGGTTGACGCTCAATCACTGCGCCACGCCGGCTGGGCAGGAAGGCAGTCTTTTACATTAAAGTTTATAACAGTTGTGCTGGTTCTAGATCTCTTATCTAGGACCTCAGAACTTAAAGGTGTTCTCAGGTTGGGGGAGGGGGCACATTTTCCCAGAATTCTTGGGCTGCCATGGCTCCTGGGTTTCCCTCAGGGCTGTTCTCTATCAAGGAGCGTATGGACTTTTTTTCCATTTGTCCCTCAATTCAGTCCCCCGGTGTCACCTCTGCTCTCCTGAGGTAAGGGGTGAACTGTATCCCATTCATGGCTCAAGTCTTTGATTCCCAATAATCTCACAACATGGAAATGAATTGTGCAGGTTTCCTTCCTCCTGGCTGGAGTTTGCTTTCCAGCAGCTGAGGATGAACTCAGTGGGGAAGATGGCTGGGCGAGCCCCAAGGGGTCTGGGATGTGGGACTGAAACTTCGGTGGAGCTAACAGCTTAGCTGAGTCTGGCTGTGGGATTGGCCAGGTACTGACGCAGGCCCTACATTAATCCTAGGTCGAGTCCCTCGGGGCCGCTTGGCCAATCAGATACCCCCTGAGATCCTGAACAACCCCCAGCTGCAGGCAGCTATTCAAGTCCTGCCTTCCAACTATAACTTTGAGATCCCCAAGACCATCTGGAGGGTCCAGCAGGCCCAGGCCAAGAAGGGTAAGCTGCCAAGCTTTGAGCTGGGGTGGGGGTGGAGCGGCTGCCTGGCCCAGTTAGGGGCATTGTCCCCATTCCAGCCTCTACCTACCCATCCTCTGCTCTCATGTGTCTGCTTTGTCTTGCAGTGGCCCTGCAAATGCCGGAAGGCCTTCTCCTGTTCGCCTGCACCATTGTGGATATCTTGGAAAGGTGAGGTTTGCGGTACAGGAGAGGGAGCTGAGCCAAGACCCCATGGCCATTACAGCTTTGCCTGTTGACATGATTCTTTCCTTCTGGCCCTCTGCCTGACAACCATGCACATACAAAGGGAAAAATTAAGACAGAGCAGTTGGTGGGGCCTGAGGAGAAACCTAAGAATCCTCAAAGCTGACCCTGGAACGGGCTGAGTCGACGGCTCCGGGTCTGGCCAAGGGGAACCTTTATTTCTGGCACATCTTGGGGAAGAGGGCAAGGAGGGGCTTAGTGGGGAGCAGTGCCTTAGAGATGGTGTTCATTTCCCCTACTCCTTTCCTCTAAGTTTCTGCAATACAATGAGCCATCCTTGGGCGGAAGGGGTGAGTGCTCAGCCATCTGGAACCCACACAGGAACAGGGAGGGAGAATGGAGAAAGGGGAGGTCATCTCGTGATGGGAACCTCCCACTTCCCTGCTGCTGCCCTCCCCCCACCCTGCTCCTAATCCTGCTGCCACAGACTCCCTTCCCTACTCCCATCCTCTTGCCTCGTAGGGATGCTCTCTGGGGCTTGGGCCAATTTGCATACATTTTAATCTATAAAAAATTAAGTGCTCAGGCTGACTCAGATGCCTGGGCTGCATTCTAAGGAGCTGAATAATCTGCTTTTGTGCACAAGTGATTTGGGGATGGGGATGGGGATGGGGATGGGGAGGGGCTGCCTGGCAGCAGTTCAGCTTTCCCCACCATGCCCCCAGGAGAGAAATGGAGTGATCTCAGTCACTGCGCCAGAATGCATGCCCCAGGGATGGGTCTCTCAGGGAGGAACTGGTCCTCTGCTCGATTCCTGTAGTGAATTCAGGGGGGTGAAGGGTCTTCCCACCCACCCCCGACCCACAGTGATTCAGGCCTGGCAGCAGATCTGGCAATGTGCTGGCCAGAGCCCACTCTTCCTGACACATCGGGCGTGTGGGCAGTGCCATGTGCTATGGGGGAGCTATGCATGGGTCCCCCCATCCTGGGCACAGAGGGCCCTGATTAAGGGTGAGGATTAGCAGGGGGTCTGGGCATCAGGGAGGCTGTGTGTGCCCACATATGCATACCCACGCACCCCACAGTGCCAAGACTTGGGAGCAGGTGCCTTTGCCTGTGTGTCCATGCTCACTGCTCTGGGTGGGATGCATCAGGAGGTCTGTGTTTGCTTGACCCTGTGCATGCCAGTCTGAGATTTGGGGGTCTCTCTTGCAGTCTGAGCCCGAGCAGAGGCATCAAGGTGCTACAGAGACCATCCCCATACAGCTATAGTTCCAGGAGCTGCTGCCAGGGCTGGAGGAGGTGGCAGCTGGGCCCCTCCTACTCTTTGTTGGCAGAAGGGGCAGCTGCCTACCCAAGGAATTGGGTGAGGTGGAGAGGGAGGCGCTGGGCCCTGAGATCCTTGCACAGGGTTAGATCTCTCTGCCACCTCGCTCCTTGGACCACCGTGCCACTGTTGTCCATCCCCACAGGTTCACAGAGGCCGAAGTGATGGTGATGGGTGATGTGACCTACGGGGCTTGCTGTGTGGATGACTTTACTGCAAGGGCCCTGGGAGCTGACTTCCTGGTGCACTATGGCCACAGCTGCCTGGGTATGGCAGACCGGGACACCTGGACCCTGGCAGGGCTGGTAGGGAGGCAGGATTCCACGCCGATTTCTATCACAGCGCCTGGTCCTGCTTGCAGGCATGAGGTCCCTCCTGGTTTCTGGGATGGCCTCAGCCTTCCTGCTCAGCTGGTGGATCTTTCCTTTGGATTTGGTTGCCTTGGAAACCATGCTGCTGTCCCAGATACGGGTGTTTGAAAGGCTGTTGGTATAGCAGGCTGCCCCCTTACCCCCGCCTCCCCCCGCCCCAAGTGACCAAGAAGGAGCCTCTAACAGACCTGTGACGCCCCCCTCCCCCACCACTTCCTTCTATCCCCAGCTTGAAGCCACTGGCTTCTCAGAGACGTTGGCCTGGGCCAGGCCTTCTGCCTTCCAAACCACAGTCTCCTGCACTCTTCCCTCCTCCCAGTTCCCATGGACACCTCTGCCCAAGACTTCCGGGTGTTGTATGTCTTTGTGGACATCCGGATAGACACTACCCACCTACTGGACTCCATCCGCCTCACCTTTCCCCCAGCCAGTGCCCTGGCCCTGGTTAGCACCATACAGTTTGTGTCAACCTTGCAGGTAAGTGGACAGACAGCAGCCAGCCTCTAAGCTATTCTTAGGTCCCCGTGCCAGCTGCCGAGGCTGGTCCTCTGGCCCTGGCTCTCCCTCCCCATCCACTTGCTTTCCTTCTCTCATTTTCCCTACAGGCAGTTGCCCAGGAGCTGAAGGCTGAGTATCGCATGAGTGTCCCACAGTGTAAGCCCCTGTCCCCTGGGGAGATTCTGGGCTGCACATCACCCTACCTGCCCAAAGAGGTGGAGGCTGTTATGTAAGTGAAAAATGGGGGTGTCAGTTTTACAGACATAAGAAATGTACCCTGGGAGTCTAAAACTCCTTAACTATTTGCTCAAGGTCACCTGCAAGATGGGGTCCAAATAGGGTTTCAGATTTTCTGTCTCCCTCACCAGCGCCCTTGTCCACTGTCCAGAAGGCTATGCTCAGGGTGGGGCAGGAATCAGAGGGCCTGATGGGGGGCGAGGGCAGGCTGGAAATGGGGGGACTATAATTGGAGAAGATGGATGGGTATACCCAGGCTGTAGCCCCATTAATTTAGCATCCGGACAGCTAACAAGTAGGAGCGGCATGTCTCCTGCTGCCTAATTATTTTAGGTAATGGAAATGCTTAATGTTGTGTGAATGCAGCCAGCCTCAGAGCCGACAGCTCCTGGCTGGGACTGGGAGGGGAGCCCCGCTCCCAGCTAATGGCAGGAAAGGAGGCAGGGGCACTCCCCTGACTTAGCCCACCTTTGGGGCTGCAGATTCTGCTTCCACGGGTCTTGCTGTACTCACACAGACACCCCTGCCCACTGCCAGCCCAGGCCTGGCAGTCCTGCTTCCCAAGCGGCGTTTCCCTTGTGCCTGTGCCTGCATAACTGAGCTCACAGATGCCTACCCTTGGGGCCTTTGACGTGTGTGTTGGAGGGAGGGAAACCCTGAGTGTTGGCCATTCCTCAAAATTCGGTGTGCTCTCCCAGAGAAGGACATGCCCTCCCAGGGCATGCTGGGTACAGCCTCCTGGTTGTTAGGCCTAGAGTTGAGCCCTAGATATACTGCTCCATAGATGTGTGACTTGGGCAAGTTCCTTTTTTTTTCTTTAATCTTCACCTGAGAATATTTTTCCATTGATTTTTTTTTAGAGAGAGTGGAAGAGAGGGAAAGACAGAGAGAAATATCGATATGAGAGAAACATTGATTGGTTGCTCCTGCACGCGCCCTGACTAGGGCCCGGGCCTAGGAGGAGCCTGCAACCCAGGTATGTGCCCTTGACTGGAATCGAACCTGGGACCCTTAGGTCCACAGGCTGAAGTTCTTCTATCCACTGAGCCAAACCAGCTAGGGCTTTTAAGTATGTTTTTATTGATTTGAGAGAGAGAGGAAGGAAGAGGGGGGGGAGAGAGAAAAACATTGATTGGCTGCCTCCTGCACACCTCCTACTGGGGATTGAGCCCACAACCTGGGCATGTGCCCTGACTAGGAATCGAACCAACTGGCAACCTTTTGGTGCACGGGACAACCAACTGAGCCACACTGACCAGGGGTGGGCAAGTTTCTTACCATCCCTGAACCTCAGTTGTATCTTGTAAAATGGGAACAGTATAGGTAGCTTAGAGGATTATTCGATAGGTCTGAGTGAAGTCATCCATGCCAGGTGCTTAGCCCAGGCCCAGTGCACAGCAGGCATGAGTCCAATAAACAGTATCTATTGTCACAACTCAGGACTGGACCCAGGAGCTAGTTAGGGCAGAGAGTAGCCAGTGTGTTCCGGAGCCTCATTTACAGCTTAGACGACACCCTGAACATTACTCCCTTGTCTGTATTGAGCGAGGGAGAATCTGTCCGCTGCCCCCCCCCGCTCCCCCCAAGTGAGGATCTCTACAGCCTGGAGCAGCCTTACCTGGCCTCAGCTGTGCCTTTACCCCCAGAAGGTTGGGGGCGTTCTTAGCTTCTGCATTATAACTAGAGGGGCTTGACGGTCATCCAGTTCACGCTCCTTTTTTACAAGTAAGAAAACCAAAACCTCAGGAGGTGAAATGACTTGTTCCAGTTCACATACAGCCAGGCGGCACAGCCAGCCAAGAACGCAGTCCTCTGTACCCCAAGCCAGTGCCTGCTGCTTCTGTTGCCCCACCACACTTACCACCACCCCCTTTTGACCCCCCTGCAGATATCTTGGAGATGGCCGCTTCCATCTGGAGTCTGTCATGATTGCCAACCCCGATGTCCCTGCTTACCGGTATGGGCTGAGCTTGACCAACCAATTGGGGAGAGGGTGGGATTCTCTGCCACTAAGGCCTTCAATCAGCCAAATCCTCATTCTCTGGCCCTTTAGCAGCCCCCAGCCCTAAAGATATGAGGTACTTGGGTCCAGAACCTAATATCAAACCTAGTGTTGCTGCTGCACAGTACCTACCCGTCCCCTGGGATTCACATGGATATCCTAAAACCCGCTCCCACTCCTGCCTGCCCCGCTGTGGGACTGGTCTTCCCAATGACAATCCATGCTCTTGCCTCTGTTCCTAATTACCTGCAATGGAGCCTGAAGGTTCAGGAGACCAAGGGGCTGAGTCCCACAAGTGGCTGTCATTGTGACCCTGACAGCTTCTTTTCCAGATATGATCCATACAGCAAAGTCCTATCCAGAGAGCACTATGACCATCAGCGAATGCAGACTAACCGCCAAGAAGCCATAGCCACTGCCCGCTCAGCTAAATCCTGGGGCCTTATCCTGGGCACCTTGGGCCGTCAGGGCAGCCCCAAGATTCTGGAGGTCAGAGGGCTTGGGATGGCCTCTGGGGAAGGGATTGACTGGGACACCATCAGGCAGTGGGAAAAATCAGTAGGCCAAAGAATTTAGCCTTGGCAGCTTGATCATGACGACTCCAGCTCTGCCTTCCTCTACCACCAGCACCTGGAATCCAGGCTGCAAGCCCTGGGACTTCCCTTCGTGAGGCTGCTGCTCTCCGAGATCTTCCCCAGCAAGCTCAGTCTGCTTCCGCAGGTGGACGTGTAAGTTTCTCCTCCTTATCTATCTAGCTATGACTGGCTAGCGAAGTTTAGAATCTGGGTCCTGCCTAGCACATACGGAGGGCTGGAGTCAATAGGAATTGCTTCCATGATCATGAAATTCTAATGTTTACAGAGCACTCATCCAGCAGGGGTTGCCCTCTAGAGCAGCCGTCGCCAACCGGTGGTCCGTGAGGTCCGAAAGGTTGGTGACCACTGCTCTAGACCACACATACTTTGTCTTGGGGCTGACAAGCAACTGCACTGTCACAGTGGTTCTGTATGAGATGACATTGGCATCTGCATTGTACCAGGCACTAAATTTGATTCTGGGAATACTGTCACAAAGGAGTTGCCCAGGCCCTGCCCTCAGAAAGCGTGTAGTCAGGGAAGGAAACAGAAGACAAGCAACACTACAGTGTTATTCTAAACAGCAGTACGTTACCGTCTTCACTTTAGAATTCATAATAAGCATTCATTGGGTGTGTTGGGGACACAGTCCTGTTCTTCACATGCTGCCCAGGAGAGGGGGAAGACCTCCCTCGGTCTGATCTGACTTCCCTTCCCAGGTGGGTACAGGTGGCATGCCCACGCCTCTCCATTGACTGGGGCACAGCCTTCCCCAAGCCGCTGCTGACACCGTATGAGGTAACACCAACATTTGAGGGAGTGGACTTTGCACCTGGTTCTGTGAAGGGAGGGATCTGAAGTGGAGTGGGGCAGGCGGGCAGTACTTCCTAGTAGTTACAGCTGAGCCACTTCCTAGCTGAGTGGCCTTGGGCAAGTCTCTTAACCTCTTTGAGCCTGACATTCCCTCTGTGTTACATTGGTAACAGGATCTCTAGGCCATTGTGAGGATGAAATAATCCTGTGCAGAAAAGTGTTGGAAATGTTTTTGTCCGGTTTTCCTCCTCTAGGCGGCGGTGGCCCTGCGGGACATTTCCTGGCAGCAGCCCTACCCCATGGACTTTTATGCTGGCAGCTCCTTGGGGCCGTGGACGGTGAACCACGGACGAGACCGGCCCTCCCAGGCACCCCGCGGGCCTGCGCTGGGGAAGGTAGGCAGGGACTCCCAAGGAGGGAGGAGTGGTCGCTCCCTAGCGACGCGTGCCGAGGCCGCCGCCATGCGGCCGCTACGGGAAATGCATGCGAGCGGGATGGACGACGTCGCAGAAGTGGGACCCTGACCAAAGTGTGCAACTCAGATGCAGGAGGGATCCGCGCGCCTTTCTCCAGCCGTGACTTGCGAGGGTTGCAGCTGCAGAGACGAGGAAGTGGTGCCACTCGCTCCGTGAGACGCTCCTGAGTCTCAGGTATCCGCCCTGCGTTGGCCGCGCCCCACCCCTCCGCCTGGTCTTGGGAACGCTCGCTTGCTCGGAGGCCCGCCTTCAGGGTGTTGCCGGCCTTTTGGCTCCGCCCCTTGCGTAATTCAACTTCCGCTCGGGGAGAGGCCGCTTCCGTCTCCTCTGGCGCACTGACCCGCGCTATGGCCGCGCCGCGGCCTCTGCGTGTGTTGTGCTTGGCGGGTTTCCGGCAGAGCGAGCGGGGCTTCCGCGAGAAGACGGGAGCGCTGAGGAAGGCGCTGCGGGGCCGCGCCGAGCTAGTGTGCCTCAGCGGCCCGCACCCGGTTGTGGACACAGCGGGCGCCGGGCCGGAGTCCGGTGAGAGGAGTCCTGCCCCGGAAATGCGTTCCGACTCTATTTTGCCTCGAGTCCCCTCTATCTTGCCTCGTCTCTAAAACACTTTTCAGCGCACCCCCACTCTGTCCTCATTCATTCCTCCCACCATCCCACTTCATTCTACCCATACCTTTCATTTCTTTCATCCCAGCCTCCCATGTTTACACTTTGATTTGTTCCGCCCGCCCTTCCCTCTGCCAATCCATCTATTCCCAACCTCAGACTTGCTTCTCTCCCTGTCATTCCCAAACCCTCCCTTTCTCGTTTCTTTCCTCCTGCATCCCCCTTGCCCTAACCCCATCCCACCCCCGTATCTCTCTAGGGTCCTGCCCTCCGGAGGAGCAGCCTCGAGGCTGGTGGTTTTCGGAACAGGGGGCAGACGTTTTCTCCGCGCTGGAAGAGCCCGCAGTGTGCAGAGGTCTGGAAGCAGCCCTGGGGACGGTGGCACAGGCACTGAACCAGCTGGGACCTTTTGATGGGCTCCTTGGTTTCAGCCAGGGGGCAGCGCTAGCAGCCCTTGTGTGTGCCCTTGGCCAAGCAGGTGATCCCCGGTTCCCCTTGCCAAGGTTTATCATCTTGGTATCTGGTTTCTGTCCTCGGGGCCTTGGCCTCCAGGAATCCGTCCTGCAGGGTCCCTTGTCGCTGCCTTCACTCCATGTTTTTGGGGACACTGACCGTGTCATCCCCTCTCAGGAGAGTATGCAACTGGCTAGCCGATTCACTGGATCCATCACTCTCACCCACTCTGGTGGCCACTTCATTCCAGCAGCTGCATCACAGCGCCAGGCCTACCTCAAGTTCTTGGACCAGTTTGCAGAGTGAGAGATCAACACATGCCTGGGTCCCTGTATCCTCCTCCTCACCTCAGTGGGGACACTGACTTTGGGGCAGCCTCTATGATCCCTGCTCTCCCCTTGTCCCTACCCTGGGACCTCCACTGCTATTTGTGCTCCTCACCATCACCAAGTAAGACAAATACCAGTTCTTGCTCCCCGGTGTGGCTCAGTGGTTGAGCTTTGACCTATGCACCAGGAGATGACAGTTCCATTCCCAGTCTGGGGACATGCCTGGGTTGCAAGCTCAGTCCCGGGGTCCAGGAGAGGGGGAGGTGGGGGAGAAGCAGTTGATCAATGATTCTCAGTCATCTTTGATGTTTCTATCTCTACCTCTCCCTTCCTCTCTGAAATCAATAAAAATATATATTTTTTAAAAAAACAAATATCAATTCTTAAAACTCAGATTACATAAGCCCAGCTCTGTATTCAAAGAAAATGGGGAGCCGAACTGGTTTGGCTCAGTGGATAGAGCGTCGGCCTGCAGACTCAAGGGTCCCAGGTTCGATTCCAGTCAAGGGCATGTACATTGGTTTCGGGCACATCCCCAGTAGGGGGTGTGCAGGAGGCAGCTGATCGATCTCTCTCATCGATGTTTCTGACTTTCTATCCCTCTCCCTTCTTCTCTGTAAAAAATCAATAAAATATATTTAAAAAAAAAAAAGAAAATGGGGAGCAGGCAGCCTTAGTGGACGCTGACCTTGGCATCTGACACTCAAACATGGAAAAGGCTAGTGGAGCCCTGAATGAGTGGAGGGTGACATGGGAAAAGTAGGGGCTGGTACCACTGTCTTCCACACAAAGTGGTGATTTGATTTTGAGCATCTTTTTCCTGATACAGAAAACAAAACCAAACCATTTTATAACAAATCTCCACGTTCACAGAGCCTCCAGGGCAGCACCAAGGAAGGCGGTGTTTCCAGTTAGCCCCCGGGAGAAGCTCTTGCGTGTGTGGGCACAGACACATTTTTGCTGGAAGTCTTAAGTCCCAAGCTGAAGGAAAGGAGGTCTGAGCTGAATCAGGGGAGAATTTATATCAGAAGTTCTGGGAAGAGAGGACCTGACAAGGCTCTTCCTGGACCATCTTGAGTTGAGGCTTCCTCCATCCTGGTCCCTGAGAGTTGTGTGCTGGCCTTTTGTTGAACCCTGGCTTCTTGTGTTCTCTGCTGTCTCCATAACTTCCTTAGCTCCTCTGAGCTATGAGTTCAAAGGGTGGGATGGTGAGAAACCTTGGATTGAGGCCAAAGACAGCACAGAAGAACCCCTTTCTGAACATGCCCTATTTGCCATTTCTGAGATTGATGCTACACTGTAGTGATCACAGCCAAGCCTAAGCAGCCCATCTGGTTTGCAGTTGTTTCTAGGCACTCTAAAGTCCGCCCACTGTAGCCATTTCCCCTACTTCCTGCGCTCCCCCTCTGCCCTCACTGCTCTCTGACTTCAGTTCTATCTCTGCAGGCTCAACAACTTGTTGCTTTTCTAGAAGATCATAACGGAACCTATCTATCCCTCTGGCATGGTTGCCCCCCAGGGACTTAAATAATGGACCAGAAATACTCCAGTGGATCCTAAGACAACTAGACTAATAGTTCTTAAGTTACCAAAAATTCTGAGTTCGGCACTATAGCTAGCAGCTGTCCAAGATATTTTTCTTTTTAAGAACTGGAGTTACCTGCCTGGACAGACCCAGTTTACTGGTTTATGATCTTTGCTGCCGGAAGTGGGTGTGGGGAGAAAGTTCTTAGCTCAGTCTACCTCTGCCTTGCTCATGGTTTTTAAAGGGGTCTTTTCCTTAGCAGAAGGTGAAGACTGAAATGGACTGAATTACTCTCCTACAGGCCTGTTGGATTTGGCCCATGGCATTTTAGAAAAAAAAAAAAGGATTTGTGATATTTGAAATTTTAGGAATTTCACACAAAAATTCAGATTTCTGACTTCTCTGGAAATAAGCAGTTCAAAATGGAATGCAGTGGCTCTGCAGTTCAGGGCTCTCGAGCCCTTCTGGCAATCACAGGCTGCCCATTTCAGCAAGGTCCCAAGGGGTGAACATGATGGCTTGTGTACCACAGCTAGTGCTACTGGATTAATGTGAAGATTAAAGTAAAGAGGGGAGGATATATTAAGGAATGAATTCTAAGCCAGGGCTAAAGTTAGAAGGGTGAAGACAGAGCAGAGCAGTATTAGGTACAGCAGAAGTGCCCAGGCTTGAGATGAGAATTTCCCCCGAAAATCACCCAGAAGAGAACAGATCACATGGTCCACTGGTTCCAACAAGTGACATGTCACCTGGCATCATGTTGCATCAGCATTATGTTAAAACTTGATTGCCCAGCTGGCATGGCTCAGTGGTTGAGTGTCTACCCGTGAACCAGGAGGTCAGGGTTTGATCCAGGTCAGGGCACATGCCCAGTTTGTGGCGCATCCCCAATAGGGGGTGTGCAGCAGGCAGCTGATCAATGATTATCTCATCATTGATATTTCTCTCCTCCCTTCCTCTCTCTGAAATCAATAAAAATATATTTTTAAAAACAACAACTACTTGGATTTCTGGAGCCAAACTCCAGATCCAAATCTTCAATCACTGGGACCCAGGAATCTGCATTTTGACAAGCTATCCATGATCATTTCCATGCAACATCATATTTTAAAGCTGTTTAGAGAGACTGTCTCTGTTAATATGTGTTATTTGATAAAAGCCCATGTGATTCTCATGCTCTCCATTAGGGAAGGGGAGCAAGCTCTCAAGAATCATTGATTTAACATTTTTCAACTTATAACTAAGGAAAATGAGATTCAGAGGGTAGAAAGGGGAATACCATTTGTTGAGTGCTAACTATGCCACACGTGGTAAGTAGAGCTTTATAGTTGCCTAATTTTTTAAAATATATTTTATTGATTTTTTACAGAGAGGAAGGGAGAGGGATAGAGAGTCAGAAACATCGATGAGAGAGAAACATCGATCAGCTGCCTCCTGCACACCCCCTACTGGGGATGTGCCCGCAACCAAGATACATGCCCTTGACCGGAATCGAACCCGGAACCCTTCAGTCCACAGGCCGACGCTCCATCCACTGAGCCAAACCGGTCAGGGCGTTGCCTAATTTAATCTCACAACTTCATGAGGTAGATACTATTAAGCTAATTTTACAACCGAGGAAACGGGCATGGAGAGGCTAAATAACTTACCCAAAGTTGGTTCGGATCCAAGAACTCACATTCTTGGCCACTGCTTCCTCAGCAGCCCTATAGGAGGTGAGCAGAGGCCACCACTCACTCCTTTTGGGCTAAATGTCCTGTCTGGGCCTCACCTTCCTAATCCACAAAATAAGCTGGGGTGGGTGCATTCAGTGATTTCCAAGACACTGAGAAGCTCCACATTGTACACAGTCTTCTGGCTATTTTCCTCCTCTGGCCACCTTCTCTAAATGGGTTCCAACTGCAAAAGACTCGGTCTCTTCTTCTCAGAACACCCCTACATTTCTCTTTCCTTCTTCACTCCACTTTAGATTCCTAAAGCAAATAGAAGAGAGAGTCCCTTAGCCAAGAACCTCTCGACAATCCCAGTCCCAGAGATCTCTTAGAGAGATGCACCCCCTGCTCCCAGCTGCGCCCTCTCCTGTTCATTTTGCCTAACTGCCCAGGGCTGGGTTCTCCCCACCACCACCACGCCCTGATAAAGATACAGTAGCCTCACAGGATAGTACTTAAAAACAAAATAGCATTCTGCAGTTCTTAAAGGTTTTTACTTACATGATCCTGTTTGGTCCTCACATCAAACCTGCCCGAAAGAAGAATTGTCCCATTTTACAGAATGCTCAGAAACAACATGATCCTGTAACAACCGTGGATGATGCTCGGGATGCTTCTCTGTGCATTGCTCCCACCTGCATACACTACATCTGCCCATGGATGCCCACTGGATTCCAGAATTGAGTGCATCTTAATGTAAGACCTCAGGGTCCTTAGGTGAGAGGAAGGCAGCATGTGGGCATTGATTAGCTGTGAAATCAGCACCAGTTGTCTTAGAAGTTTAGAAAAGGGGGGGTTATGGAAGAGTAAAGAAAAACTGGATTCATGGATGGCAGGGCTGGGTTGCAGTAACCATTCCCAACACTATCCCCAGGAAAATTCTGCACCCATATGCAATAGCCCCTGCAGTAGGTGATGGTGGCTGCAGGTGACGTGTTGTTGTCTTAAATACGGAACGCTTCACTAACTTGCGTGTCATCCTTGCTCAGGGGCCATGCTAATCGTCTCTGTATCGTTCCACTTTCAGTATATGTGCTGCCCAAGCGAGCACGCAGGTGACATTTTTGAAGAGGTCATTGCACACACTTCACAGGCACAATAGGACTTCAGCCCCTCTGATTCACTCCCCCTCTTTAGGGCTACTTTGAGATACTGTTTCAAATTGGAACCCAGCACTTAGACTGAGGGGAGGATGCTGATATGTTCAGACAATGCTTTAGGGACCTGGTTAACTTCACAAACCCACTGGCGTTCCTGAAGGTTGGCAACCTCTCTTAGCCTACATGGTTGAAGAGGAGCAAAGAGTGGGGAGAGGAGTGAGGGGAGGTTGCAACGCCATCAGAAAATGAGTTCAAGAATTACTCATGGCCCTCTGCCTACTCAGCTAAGGGTTCCTGGAAGAGTGAGCTGGTGGTGCATTTAGGCAAACTTTCCTGTGTAACCACTTCAGTCCACAGGAGGCAAACATTCCTTCTGGCATCCAGGTCCCAGCAGCCTCCGTCCCACTGAGGAGATTTTTAAAAAACCCCAAATATCATAACTGCCGCCCTTCTCGCCATCCCCTGGCTGCAATACCTTGGCTCGGAAAACAGGCCGGTCACCGAGGCTGGCGGTTAGACACACTCCGCACACCTTGCTTCCTTCTCTGCCTCGGCGGAAGCACTGCAATTAGACCCGGGAGTAGCCCGCCTGCCTGCGCCAAACCTCTCGCCACCCCCGCAGACACCTCGACTCTTGACTCGCCGCCCCCGCTTCCTCCTGCTCTCGGCCTCCCCCTGGCTGGGGCAGCAGTGAGCCGCGCGGGGTGGCGCGGCGCGTGGGCGTGCTGCGGGGCGACCATGGCTGTAGACTGTTACCTCCGGTTCCCACAGTAACAATCGAAAGCCACGGTTGCCCTGGAGACGCGGGGGCGGGGCGCGCGGCAGCTCCAGTCAGGCTGACGTCAGGACCGAGGTGGGGGGGCGGCGGAGGACCCGGCGCTGGACCGCTACCGGGCGGTGCGATGCGCGTGTGGGCCGGCCGCCCCTCGCAGCCCCTGGGGACCGGGGAAGGGACCGCCCGATGGCCGAGCTCGCGCCGGATCAGCACCGCGGACAGCGGCCGCCCGAGCAGCCAGCTGGGGGCGGAGGACTCTAGGGACAGAGGGCCCCGGGTCCGCGGTCCTGGGGCGGGGCCAGGCGTCGGTGGCCGTGACTGGAGACTGTTACTCGGGGCGGCCGGGCAGTAAGCAGTCTGCAGCCAAGGTGCCGGCGCGCTGCCCGGGAGGGGGGGAGGGGAGTGCCTCTGTCGCCCGCAGCTGGGGGCGCTGCTGCTCTTCCTCCCCCGCGTCTCCCGCCTTTCTGGGCTCCCATGCTAGCCGACAGGCACGCGGCCCTTGACGTCAAAGCCCTGTGACGTCAAAGACGTCCCTGTTGAAAGGCACTTCCGCAGGGGGGGTGGTCGGTGGGGTGGAGCGGGGCGGTCCTGCCGAGGCCCCACCCCCGCCCGGTCCTGAGAGAACAGCTCCTCGCGCGAAGGCGAGAGGCTGTCGATGTGCGTGTGGGCTGGCCGACGGGGCGCAGAGGGACGCGGGGGGCCGGCCCGACGGGTCGGATGGGGAGGGGGCGCCCCGGAGGGATGCAGGGCGGGGGTCCTGAGAGAGCCGCAGCGGGTGCCCAGCTCAGCCGGCGGGGGCGGCCAGGCTGAGTCACCGCGCTGCGGGGAGGGAAGGAGGGGTGCGTCTCCCGAGGCACCAGCATCTTCGCCCCACTTTCCTGGGGGGATGGCGCAGGAGCCCCAGGTAGGACCGCGGGCGCTCTGGGGCCCGTCCTCTGCTCGATGCTCCTCCGAAGGGGCTGCGTCCGCCTCCGGGCGCGGGCAGGTGCTGCACAGGGTTCTGCGTGCGCTCTGCCCGGGCTCCGCCAGCTGCGGGTGAACCCTCGCCCCCCGCCCCCTCCCCACCCCACCCCCACCCGCACCCCAAAGGGGCCCTCCCACCCACCCCCTGCCGGTCTCCTCCGGGCCCTCCGTCCGTGTCTGTCGCCCGTCGGTCGGTCGGCCCCGCTTACCTGTCCGGCTGCATCGCGCCCGCGCGCGCTCGCCTCCCGCAGCCCGGCTGGCGCGGCGGCTTTTATAGCCGCGCGTAGTACTCGTGCGGCGGCTCATTCATGCGGCCGGGCTCCTACACACTGACGTGCTGCCGACGTCAGCAGGGAATTTAGGAAATGGGAATTGGGGCTATTTATAGTGGCGAAGGGGGGGGGGTGTGGGGACCTAGGCGATGGGGAGGGCGCCCGGAAGCAGGAACAGGGAGGGGAGCCCGTGCCCCCCGTACCGTCTACAAGGGGTTAACTTTCCGGAACTGCGGGCTGGGGGCCTGCGGGAGGTGGCGTGGGAGGGCAGCCGGGTCCCAAACTGGGACACCTGGGACACAGCCCCACCCCGCCCGGCCTTCCTGGTCCTCACCTGGCAGTCCCCACTCTCACACCTCGGGTCCTGGACCCAAGGGCTCGGTGACGTCACAAGATGTCCCCCAGCGGTGGCGGCCTTATATTCCAGAGCCCCTGAGGCGTGGATCACTGGGGTGGGGGCAGGAGATGAAGCTGGGCCCTCGGAGCAGCATCCAGAGCTGTGCTGTGGGGAGAAGTGGGGAGCTCAGGGGTCTTGGAAGGCTTCGCAGGAGGAGGCTGGGCCTGGAGGGAATGCCCAGTGGGGGTCCAGGTACCAGTGGGAGCTGGAGACCCCAGGCAAGGCAGGAAAATTGAGGACAGACAGGCACGAGGCCCTTGGACTCCCCAGAAATGAGCGGGGGATGGGGGGGTCCTCTGTGGGGAAGTTGGGCAAAAGGTGTCAGGAGAAGGGGGGTGAGAGGGAGAGAAGCCTCAGCAAGTGGAGGGGGGCGTCAGTTTCAGAGCCTGGCACCCCGCAGGCCGAGTTTAGGACCCATCTGTGGAATAATGGGCATTGGCAGAGCTCCTATGAGCGGAAGAATGAGCGAAGGAGACCCGGGGCTCAGCAGCTTGGCAGAGGGGGCTCTCAAAAGTGTGGCAGAGCAGAGCCCACTTCTGGGAGAAATTAGAGTTCCTGGAGGGCAGAATGGCAGGAAGGGGACATGCCCTGTGGGGCAGAGTTCCCCTGGGCAGGAGCAGGGAAATGAGTGATCCTGGCCCAACTTAACTCCTCAGTTGAGGAGGGCTCTACATGGGGGAGGGAATGTGTTCAGAGAGAGGAGCTGGATTGGGGTGGGGAGAGGGCAGGGCCAGGCCAGACGGAGGGCAGTTAGGCTGGGGGCAGTTCTGTAAGGCCCTCCATACAGATATAAGGGCAGCTTGAGGGTAGGGGCTGGGGCAGGAAGTTGACTTGGAGATCGGGTATCCGGCAAGAGTGTTAAAGAAAAACAAGGAGCCTGCTGGCTTGGCTCAGTGGTTGAGAGAGAACCTATGAACTAGGAGGTCTCGGTGGTTTGATTCCAGGTCAGGCCACATGCCCAAGCTACGGGCTTGATCCCCAGTGTGGGGCGTGCAGGAGGCAGCCAATCAACGATTCTCTCTCATTACTGATGTTTCTCTCTCCCCCTCTCCTCTCCTTTCTGAAATAATAAAAATATATTTAAAAAACAAAAAAGGCCCTAGCCGGCTTGGCTCAATGGATAGAGCGCCGGCCTGCGGACTGAAAGGTCCCAGGTTCAATTCCGGCCAAGGGCACATGCCTGGGTTTTGGGCTTGATCCCCAGTGGGGGGCGTGCAGGAGGCAGCCAATCAGTGATTCTCTCTTACCATTGATGTTTCTATCTCTTTCTCCCTCTCCTTTCCTCTCTAAAATCAATAAAATATATTTTTAAGAAAAACAAGGACAGCGGGCACAGCAGGCACTGGGGTGGGTTCGCAGTGGACAGACTCCTCCCCTGCAGGAGGCACAACGAGAAGGGCTCCTGGTGGCGCTAGGATCTGGCCCCTCCAAGAGGATAAAAGATTACAGCAGAGAAGGGGCCAGAGAGGTTCTCACACTCTTTGGGAATCTGGCCACCCTGAGTCCTTTTTCTGCTCCAGGCTTTGTCCCAGAGGTATCTTCTTCAGGAATGCCTTCCTGCCTAGGGAAGGAGCTCCTATTCATCCATCAAAGCCCAGCTCTAAGAACACTTCTGAGGAGCCCTCCCGCCTCTCCCCAGCTCTCCCTCTCAGCGGACAGCATGCCCCTCTGCCCGTAGAGGCTGGCAGCTCCGGAGCCCACCGTGTTCATTCTCGGAACCTCACCGCTTCCCTAGTGAGGACACCACGGGGAGCCGGAGGAGAGGAACTGGGATAAGAATGACCCAGAACACGAGTGAACGCAGGGTGAGGGCGGACTCGGGATGCGGTGAGAGTGAGCAGGACCTGCAGAGACCCGTAGCCATCGCCTGGCGCGAGGCCATGAAGTCGCCTGCGGAGGAAAGGGAGCCTCCTGGGGGCTATGGAGCCCTTGGTGTTTGTCTGGGATCGAGAGTGGCCGCGACCGCGCCCGCGCTCCCGCAATGAATGACTCAGCCACTACCTCTAGAGGAGACTTGGGGGCTGAGAACCGCACGGTGATGGTGGAGGTGGGGGGTGGGGGCAGGGAGCGCGGCCCCATCCGCCCAGCAGCCCCGCGTGGTTGCTAAGCTCTCCAAGGCCTTGGAGAGAAGCGATCTGGGCGAACCTCACCGGTTACTATGGTAACTCTGCGCCCCAGCCTCGGTGCGGCGGCTGAGGAAGGCGTACCCAATCAGAAGCTGCAGGGGTTCTCGGGAATCCACTCCCACCCCTCACGTGTGGGCGGGGGTTAGGAGGTGTGGGGAGGAGGCGGAGCGTGGGCCGCAACGAGATCTGGTGCCCGCCACCAGCCTGATGCAATGGCTGGGCAGCGCGGGAACACTTCCGGAGTAGCTCAGCCAGTGCCAGACACCAGTGCCGGATCCCCTCCCTCCCAGAAGGGGAGTCACCTGCAAGAACAGGGCCTTTACCTGGGGTGCAGGACTTTGCGGAGGGGGCACCCCAGGCTGCAGGCCTTCTTGCCCCATTTCTCTCCAGTCAGTGGGTTGGAGACGAGGTCGTCCAA